TATGGAGATTCTCATTATAATTATGAATGATCGTTCTGAGGATGATACAGAACTAAAGGCAGCGTTTCATGGCTGTAATAATGTTTATATAATGAATCCCAGCAGCTTCGGATGCTCCTGGCAGTTTCACTCTCAAAATCTATATTTGTGAAAGCAGATGTTTTCTGCAGAAACATGTTTTACCTCAAATATCGACTTCCCTATTTTGTGAAACACTGATTAATGAATAATTATCCTTTTTTTATGTCAGATAGTTTTAATCCTGAATTGATCAGTACTTCAAAATTTGTTGAGATGTATTATGAAGGAATTGTTGAACCATACTGTGAGGGTGTAGAATATGAAGAGTATGTAAGGGTTAAACTAAAAAGAGGTAGAACTCAATGGATTAAAAGCAGGAAGGGCTGAAACTTCAATGCCAGGAATACGAAGCTAATCTAGTAAATGGGAAGTGTTCTGCTAGAGAGCGATTGGCTGTTTAAATGCAGGCGATGAAGAAAAAAGGCAGAAAACTGAAGTAAAATGAAATGCTTTCTATGTATGAAAGCAATGTTTTTTTTTTTCAAATAAAACAGTCATAAGAACAGAAATTATGAGAATATCCTAAATGACAGTGGTGCACATTCTACAAAGGGAGGAGAGAGCCTAGATATTCATTACGTCGCTGTAAAACCAACACAGGCTCAGCAGGAAAACAGTCTCAGCTTTAAGGGGAAACAGATGAATTCAGCGTATGCTTTGAGAGTTTCATGTGGATTCTAATCTAATCTTTTAGTCTCAGTAGAGCAGGCAGCTGTTTTCAGTAAACAATCTCTCATAAGCGCTGCATAAAATGGCAGAGAAACAAAGTTAGCTTCAAAGTTGGTGAAGATATTTAGCTGCTAAACAGCAGAGGTTTCCCTCAGTGGGGGGATAGTGGGGTAAAAGGTCACCATGTCCAATTGTGACTAACTCGTTATGGAGTTTTGTCCCTGGGTGGTAAGCAGTTAATGTTGTTTAAAGTTTAGGAAACTTTAAATTAAGGAGCGGTCAAACTCATTATTAAAGGCATACTACTGAAGCCCGTGACCCTGAATCCTCCCTTAGTTATGCTGCTATAGGTGTAGGCTGCTGCTGATTCCCATGATGCATTGGGTGTTTCTTCTTCACTCACTATGTATTAATAGACCTCTCTGCAGATGGCCCCGCCCCTCCCTGAGCCTGGTTCTGCCGAAGGTTTCTTCCTGTTAAAAGGGAGTTTTTCCTTCCCACTGTCGCCAAAGTGCTGCTCATAGGGGCTCATATGATTGTTGGGTTTTTCTCTGTATGTATTATTGTAGGGTCGACCTTACAATATAAAGATTTGGTGCTGTATAAATAAAATGGAATTGAATTATTAAAGCCATACTACTGAACCTGTGAAAACTGTTGTGTGATATCCTCACGGGGTTTAAAGGGAGCTTCCCTTTGTCTGATTTAGGACACTTACTTAGGAAACAGGAAAAGACCAACAAAAATGCTTTTAGTTGGAGTAAAAATGTAGATTAAGGTTCTTGAAACTTCACACATCTGGGACTAAAATCACAGCTGTTTTTTCCGTCTGCCTGCACGAGTTCTGCAACTTTTTTCCAAGTGAAGTACTAAATCGCTAGAGAACCTATTCAAGCTACAAAAGGGTTTGTTTTATGTGTAACTATAGTTTGAATGTTCACAGGGGACCAGGACAGGCATCTTACACCCAGCTCTGTTCTACCAACATCACCCTACTTCCATATAATTACTTATTCTTTGCAAAGAAAAAACATGGAGCCTTCCAATGCATGCTTTATGTTGTAAAAGTTCAGATTTGCCTTCCTAACTTCAAAAATGCTTGCATGAGTGGATTTGTGGGCGTGAGCAAGTAATCATGAGATATTTAAACAAGTGTTGATACTGAGCAAGTATACTCATAGAACCAGTTACGCCAGTCGGCTTTTTCAGTGTTGTTTTGTTTCGTTTTAATGCAGAATTATCAGCCTATGTTGTTAATAGTTTAATCCTCTATTACATGTTTTTAATTACCTGTAAATTGTATGCTTGTGTTTATATGGCCAACAAAATGAGTTGAAAACATAATAATCTCAATATTTGCATTTAAAGTAATACTGGGTCTAATTCAGAGAATATGCATTTATAACCTTGCTTGAATAACAGACCCCAAAACCTTATGTGTATTTAAAAAAGGGATTTACACGAACAACTAGACTAAATTACTCAGAACTGGTGCCAGCAACATTTCTTAGGCTACTTAAGTCTAAAAGAAACAAGAGAAACAACCTGAATTTATGCAAACGATGTTCTTTCAGAGCACTTGCGAGTCAGCTTTCATCTTCTCTCTAAATTAGCTCTTATTGCAAATTGTCTCTCTTATTCTGTGTATCCCACCCACACCTGCTATTGACACAAACATAATCACAGATGCACACAATGTATGCCAGCATTTTGCTCCTGTTGTAACTGGATTACAAGTGGGTGGCAATCCTCTTTCTCCCCCCTCCGCGCTTCCGTAACGCTTTGAGTTGTCTGGGAAAACTGAGGATCCTGGCTCACATCGGACTTTTCGAAAGAGCTCATCTCTCACACGTTCATCGCAGCGACAGTGGATCTCTAACTTCAGATTAGGATTTAGGGAAGAGTTGTCAAACTTTTTCATTGTGTATTGTTTAAGACATTTTAGATTTAAAAAGCCAGCTTGTCTTATGATTGCTACCAAACGCATATTTTATGGATGACTCACTTTTCAAACCCCTTGTAGTCTGATTGTCTTTCGTGTGTCCGGCCCTGGATCACTTCAAGTAGGACAATCGGACAATTGCAGCCCACTCCTAACATCCCAACCTGTGTGCGCTCTTACAGCGAAGGACGATTCCTCACCGAAACATTCCCAAAGCCATAGCAGGTCAGAGTAGCCCCTGAGGGTGCAGCGGAAAGAGTCACACTGTGGACCTATTGATGCTTTACTTTCTGCAACTCTAGTGAAATCTGAACAAATCACCTTGCTGTCCTAGAAGTTATTTCACAATAAACGCAGGGTGTTGTGCATCTATAGGTCATTTTTGCTTTAAACTGTGTGTTTTACCTTATGTTGAAGTGTGTGTGTGCGCGCTGAGCTAAATGAGGACACGTGCAGCGTTGTGTGTGTGGTCTGTCTCGTTTGTTGACTGATTTGTTTGGACCTTTTCTGGTTTTGGAGATAAACACGTTGAAGCAGATATGAATATTCCTAATGGCTTTTTAATGTCTTTCTAATTTGCCCTTTAAAGGGCTCTAATGGACTGTCCCCATGTTTGCACAGAGAGGAAAAAACAATGGCTCTGACTCATTTGGTGGTTACCTTTGAGCCTGCACTAAAGCAGACAATATCATTACAGTCCTTTAGAGCTCCTCCTGTAGGAAGAAACATAATACCGTCATACTTTACACCAAGTGTTTGTGTAGCAGCGCACATTTAAAAGGGGTTCCTGGGGTGCCAGCTCTGGAATAAATGTGTTTCTGCGTGTTGAATGAAAATATCCGTTAGTTTACCGAGTGAGGAATTTTTGTTTTATTCCAATCGGGTATGAAAGATCACAGAGAATCGATCTTGATGACTCTGAGCACGTTACTGTGGATGTTTTGGTGATTTTCACGAGCTCAGTTGCTTCTCAGTAAAACTTTAACTTCTTCTCTACCGAAAGCCATTTCTATCTAATAATAGAAATAATGTGACATCAGTCACATTATTTCTATTATTTCTATCTAATAATAGAAATAATAGAAATAATGTGACATCAGTCACATTATTTCTATTATTTCTATCTAATAATAGAAATAATAATAGAAATAATGTGACATCAGTCACATTATTTCTATCCAACAATGTGACTGATGTCATCGCACTAGGCAGGCAGCTGTGCAAAAATGCTTATACGTTTAACAACAAATACCCTCCCAACATTGTTGTGTACATGTTCACGTGTGTGCATTTCACTATCGCAATGCAGCGATGATGAAAAACTGATGCAAGACACAAACCAGAGCATGTGTCTAAAACTGCAGTCGGTGACGGCGAGAGAGACATATGGAGGTTAATAACCTGTCAGCCCAGCTCTGTAACAGTGGAGAAGTTGGCCTAATGAATCATGTGGCTCTTCAGTGTGTTTAACAAGCGTGTGTAATGCAAGTGTATGTGTGTGTGTGTGTGTGTGTGACATCCAGGCAGAAAAGGAGCATTTACAATGATAGAAGCGTCATTATTAGTAGCATTTTGTTACAATGAAACATATGTGTTTGTTAACAGTAGTAATCGCTGGGAGCGAGAGTGGGAGGGGGAAAGGTGTGAGCAGAGGTTGATTGCAAAGCCATTTCCTAAGGCTTTGTCGCGCTCTGTTAGCTGTAGAGCTCCATTTGAAAGACAATTTGTCTACTGCTGAGCACTCTGGCAAAGAGCGACCTTGTGTTGAAGAAAGTCTGCACATTCGTGTGTGTGTGTGCAGTACAGGATGCACCAGGCTCGTATGTCAAATAATACATGCACGAAAACAGCAGAGGCAGCTAAAAGTTTGGCACACACACACACACATAATATATATATATATATATATA